TACGTTACTTATTAAAATCGTTCTAATTGAAGAATAAGAGTCCATTGATTTTAATATATTTGGATCGAATTTTAATTTTAGAGAGATATGGGCATTATTGCATCACCGTAGTAATTTCTTCGCGGCATTTTGACGGTTTGCTCGAAGTCGCCCGTATTGGCGTTTTATCGAAAAGAAAAAAGAAGTTTTCGACACCATCCCATATGCAGTCACGTGGTGGATATACGAAACTCTGGCAATGTTGAAGGAATGGTAGTCGACCGGTTGCCCGATGGCGCGCTTCGGCCATCAGAAGTTTCTGCCATTAGAAGTCGCATGTCGGAACACGATTCCCGGAAAGTGATTTATTGAGAATCCCATGTGGAATTATACGAACAGCCACGGTAACTATACAGCATACATCGTATATGCTTCAGTTTATGCTCTTGCTTTCATATCACGTGTTCCATTTTCCAATGCGAATGGAAAATGTGAAAATTATGCATCTTTTATGTAACGTTAAATACGTTTTTTTCATTAGTTCTCTGTAGATTTTTACGTTATAACGGAAAGATTGCGCAACGATGGAGCCGAGTTTACGGGAGTTTTCTGGCGTTACAATTTTGGCTTTTACGTGGCTGCTGAAATCAAATCCGCCTTACGTGTGCAAGATAAAGCTGAATGGAATCTGAATGACTCTTAATACCAGAACCGCCGATGGTATTTCACTCGAACTACTGAAAATACCAATATGGTGATCTCCTATCTTTATTTTCGGTTAGTAAAAAGTTATTTTAATATTATTATCGTTAGAATTATTTATTTTAAATTCATGTATTTTTTCAATATTCTGTATATTTAATATAAAAAAGTTGTTTTGGTATTATTTAACGTATCGCTTAGTAGGTAAATAATAACTGAATTTGAGTGAAATTTAAGTACATTTTAATAAGTTGAATTGTTTAACTTCATTATTTTAAATTAACGACATATTAAGTAGGAGCAGTAGCAATCCTCATGAGAAAATATGATTGAGTATCAATAGTTATCATTAGTTCCCAGTCGTAATTTAATAAATTAAAAATAGTTATTATAATATTCAGAGTCGGTAAAATCTTAATCTTTGGATTCATTTAGAAAGAAATATATTTTAACTGTATATGCGTTCCATTTTTTTTACATTTCTTCTTCTTATCGAAAGCCTGTAGACTTGTTTTACCCAATTCGATTACCCTCTTGGGACATAGATGATCAACTGTCTTTCCATCTTTTGTGCGGGCGACCTGGTTTTTTTTACATTTATTGATCAGATATGTCAACTATACTCCACACGCCTACAGAAGTAATTAAAAATAACTCAAATTGAATATAATTTGACGTTATAATTCTTATTGTTATTTTTCTGAATAATTTTTCTGGTTCTTAACAGGATCCGCTTTCAAATACAGCGCCACGTGGTCGCGGTCAAAGTTTGCGCCAGATTGGTCCACTCGGCGATCAATACGGCATTTTCCGCGACGTAAGTCGCGTCCCTTTTGCTCATTGGTCAGAACATACGCCGCAATCCCATTATTTATTAAGTTCGCGCGAAGATGCGATATTCGTCAGGCACCATCTGTCACCGAGCGATTGTGGGACGGCGATTGTGATTGACGCAGATTAATTACGATTGTATGAATCCGGAGTGTATTGCTGCTCGAACGATTGTCGCGCTTCAAAATTGTCTTTCTATTTTCCCCCTCTTTAGCATTGTTCGTCACATACGTGAAACTGGAGTTCGTACGCACCAGATGTATATAGGGCGCTTCAAAGAAATCTTATGTCCTTTCCTTATTTTATATATATATATATATAATATTCTTCGGAGAATCTTAAGTCAAACTTTGCTTAACGAGAACATCGTTAAAAGTCATTTTTTTTATTTTGGCAGCAGCTTTTTGTTTTCGAAATTACAAATATCTCTTAAAAAATTCTTAAATAAAAACTTTATACAAATATAATCTATTTATAAAAAATTAAATAACGCACAGGTTTTTTTATATATTTTTATGTGTTGCTACATATATAATCTACATTTGAAAAATTTGTTGCACAATAGATATTTAAGGGTGAAATGATCTGACACTTTGACAGCGAAACAATAATAATTTTTTTCAATGTAGTTCTTAACAAACGATTCGAAGAAAGCCCGCGCGATTTCTAAGTCACCCTGTATATCGCTACGGACGAGGGGATGGAGGAGCGAAGCTTGGTTCGCGCAACTGCGGTCGCACACAAGTGTGATAAGGCAACCTACCGTTGGATAGAGGTCTCTCAGCGAGCGATACGTACAACTATCGAAGGGCAGCTCGCGAGGAACGCGGGCTCGCGCCTCGATGTCATCGTGACGATCCCGACAGGAAGTCGATTCGCGACCGGAAATTAGCCCCGTTCGCGTCCCGCCCGTCCCGTTCTGCGGTCATCGCAAGAGAAGGGTCGTGGGAAGTGAGCAGGTAGCATTCGGAGCACAGGAGAAGGAAGAAAGAGAGGGGGAGATCAGCAGGGAGATAACGCAAAGAGAAAGAAAGAGAGAGACCGAGAGAAGCAGTCAGGTGGTGGTGGAGGAGAGAGAAAGAGAGACAAAGAGGGATCACGTACAGGCGCGAAAAGGGGAGTGGCGGGACAGTTGGGGGTGAGAAAGAGACGGAGAGCTTACCACCAGTGGTACCGAGTGCGAATACTACCCCGCGAGTCGACGTGGCCGCGAGACACCCTCGTCGCGGGGGGGGGGGGGGGGG